GTTCTTAAGTGCTCTTGGTAAACTCACATTGTCTGCACCACATTTCATTTTTCCATCACAAACAAGATTTGCTAAGCTGAGGTTTGCTAAGCAAGTAGGATGTTCTCTCCAACCATTTGTGCTCTGTTGTTTGTCATTCCTCGTACAAAGTGGGGATAATTCACCATTTGTCCAACTTGGTAGCACACCCTAAGAGTTCTTACAGAAAGAAAGCAAATCTTTTTAAGGAAATCCTTCATTTTCTTAGAAGCCACAATCCTGCAGAGTAGTAGAGACCCAAAACTACATGAATATTATCTGAGGCATACACAGGCAGAAAGCCAAGTTTCTAATGTCTGAGAGAAGCCATACCCCCATTATGGACCTACGGACAAAGACCTGCGTGTGAAACTTCTCTTGTGTGACTTGATTGACACTCAACCTTTCGATGCTCAGAACAGGGAAGTGGGCACGCAGAAAGACCTGTTGTGATGTGACAATAAGGAAGAGAGGCTCAAGATGTTTTAGTCTAAAATAGCACTGAAAAGCATACAACAGTCTTCAACTAACCACGGTAAATGTAATTGACCCATTATAGTTGTAAAGCAGGTCATCCATGTGACCGGCTCGATTTTACAACGTTTTCTGCAGCAGTTGTTAAGCATATGTGGCAGTTGTTAAGTAAACGCTGTAGTCACTAAGCAAACACTAAGTGAACCAATTATTCACTGTGGACTAATTTTCCTCGAATCGGATGTAAACCTCAGTTTTGGGCAAAAATATGATAAAATGTGGTCACGTGACCATAGGAAGCTGCAAACGGGTCAGCTGACCACCTGTTGAAATGTGGTCATGTGACTGGGGGGAAACAGCCATCAGAACTTCTGAACAGGGGTTGTAAGTATCCCTTGGAGAAGTCCATTATAAGTTCAAACAGTTGCTAAGCAATCTATTGTAAATCAAGGACTAGCTGTACACATTCACATCACCCCAAAATAAAGCACGTGCTTTTCTTTAGATGTTCTTTTTCAAATTACAAATCTATTCAAATCTGCTAACGGGGGATCATCCACTAAAACTTATTTTACCGGCGAACAATTTTGATGAGAGACAATTATTATTATTATTGATCATTGCACAGTCAGGCAGATGTTCAGACTGGATTTGACATTTTTGTCTACCTGTCAAGTCCTTACCAAGGACCTGGGATAGGCAGATGTGGATGTTTGATGGTATTACAGATCTCGTCGCAGGATGGAAGCAGTTCCTAGAAAGGCCGCCTTTTGCAATTGACTGATGGCGAATTTGTCGATGCCGATGATGATGTCCAAGTAGCGCTCCAGTTGTTTTGGGATTGCACCCAAGGCACTTATTACTATTAATACTACCCTTGCTTCCTTTGCCATAGTCGTTCTATTTCTATTTGTAGGTCTTTGTATTTTGTTATCTTCTCCAGTTCTTTCTCTTCTTTTCTGCTGTCTCCAGGCACTGCCACGTCCACTATCCATTATTATTAATCATTGCATAGTCACCCAGATGTTCAGACTGGATTTGGCATTTTGTCTACCTATTGAGTCCTTACCCAGAACCTGGGATAGGCAGATGTGGATGTTTGATGGTATTACAGATATCGTCGCAGGATGGAAGCTGTTCCCAGTAAGGCTGCCTTTTGCAATTGACTAATGGCAAATTTGTCAATATCTATTACTATTGGTACTACCCTTGCTTGCCTTTGCCACAGTCATTCTATTTCTATTTGTAGGTCTTTGTAGATGATGATGATGATGATTATTATTATTATTATTATCTTTTATTCATTAGACATGAAGCTCAGTCAACTGAATATTCAAATTATTATTATTATTATTATTATTATTATTGAAGATCCGCACAGTCAGCCAGATGTTCAGACTGGATTTGGCATTTTTGTCTACCCATCGAGTCCTTACCAAGGACCAAGGATAGGCAGATGTGGATGTTTGATGGATTATTATTATTATTATTAGTTTATTATTAGTTTAATGAAGAGAAGGACGAGGGGGGACATGATAGCAGTGTTCCAATATCTCAAGGGCTGCCAGAAAGAAGAGAGAGTCAAGCTATTCTCCAAAGCACCAGAAGGCAGGACAAGAAGCAACGGATGGAAACTAATCAAGGAGAGAAGCAACTAGAACTAAGGAGAAACTTCCTGACAGTGAGGACAATTAACCAGTGGAACAACCTGCCTCCAGAAGCGGTGAATGCTCCAACACTGGAAGTTTTTAAGAAGAGACTGGACAGTCATTTGTCTGAAATGGTATAGGGTTTCCTGCCTGAGCAGGGGGTTGGACTAGATGACCTCCAAGGTCCCTTCCAACTTTATTATTATTATCACTATCATTTTCATTTTCGGCAAACTGAATCCGGCTTCCGACAATAAACACTCCCTCCAAAACGAAACGCTGGAAATGAATGTCTTCAGCAGCAGCGTTTCCATGCAATGCAACGCTTGCCCAGAACAAAAATTTACAATGTTCCACTTGCCAACCCCCTGCCTCTTTAGCCACGAAAACATTTCAGAAAAATACAATTTCCCTTCTGTTTGTATTGAGATGAAACTGTATCTGTGTACTGGCTTACAAAAAAGGCAGAAGCTGCTCCACCAAACGGAAATGATCTTAAAAAAGGGAAATGAACCGGGTCGATGTGGAGCAGACTCCGCTACAGATTTGTCAACAGCTGTCATTTGCAAAAATATTTGCTACCTTGCACTCCGAGAGAAAGGAGGTCTGAACAGCGAGCAAGAAAAATGCCTGAATCCTGCACAATGTAGTATGTTTTTCAGTTGTTAATTAGGTGCCCCTTTTTTGCAAATACACAACGTCCCTTTGCAGGCTGGGTTGTTTTTCTGTTAACGCTTGTCACATTTTCGAGGCCTTGCTACACAACATTGGCAAGAACTTGGGGTATTAGAAACAGAGAGACGGGCTGTGTCCAGGCAACAATGAATTCAAGGTAAACTCAACCATGGCTGTCTGAATTAATACATCTCAGGTTCATACTGTACTACGAATCATAAATGAACCACAGTCTCTAGAGGAATCTGAAACACCAAGCCACAAGCATGCGTTTTAGTTTGGATACTGTGAAATAAAACTGCACACACTTTGTCCTCGTAGCACTTCATGAGATAGCTGAGCCAAGACAGATTAAGCCAGAATTTGGTTTAATCGGGGTTCAGCATGCTGTGTGAAGCCAACCGTGATGGTTTGCAAGACATATCAAGCAAGTATCCTCCTTTAATACAACAAATATTCTACGTGAAGGTGATGAAACAAGTGTTAACACAAACAAATCGCTACTGATCAAATGGCTAAAACTGTCGTGTGCTTTTGCAAGGCTGTCTTGGAAGCTGTCCCCAGACACACACACACACATACACACACACACAAAATAATGACAGTTCCTCTTGGAGTGAAGATAAGTGCCTGTGCATGCGTATGTGGGCAGAGAAAACCAGGAAGAACTTTTGAATCAGATGCAAGGCTTACAAAAGACACGTCTGCCTTAACCACCACTACCCAAAAAAAAAAAAAAAGATTGTTGTGTTCATGCCAACTTGTTTTTCCAAGGACCTTTGCTGAATGTTTTGTACAACCCTACCATATATTAATTTGGGGAGGTTTTGATTGGCTAGTTTGTATTTTGCAGATTCCACTGGCCTATGGTTGCACGTCTGAAAACCTATTTGATTTAGGGTGGCACGTGACCCTAGTCAACGATAATAAATCCATCAAATCCTGGTTAAACAAATGATGGTTTAAAACAATGGGTGATTCCCCACCCATGCAGTTTAATTCCAGGATTCACACAGAAAAGGTACAGCAGGCTTCCTTATTTTGGAGCAGGCTTTTCACCCGCTCGAGCCAAGATGATCTATGATAACTTAGAACGAAGCCTAGAATACTTTGGTGCACCATCACTCCAACAGTCTTCTGCCCTGTTGGTCTTCAACCTCCACAAACCCTCAGAAGATCTGAACTTCGCTCGTTTCCGAAAAGCACCAATTTGAGTCCTTCTTAAGCTATGATTGCTGGCTTCTTCAAGGAACAGAAGAGAAGGTGGTAGCAGTTCTTTTAACGGAAAGCCCATCCGAATCCTCAGCTGCTCCAGGAGGCAAGACCCTTCCTCCAAATTCAACACCGCCTGTGTTGACATAATATTCTTTTTGTCCACTTTAAGCCCTCCAAAAGAACTCTTTTGTTTGGGCAGGGACCCAAGTTGTAGTACACATATACACAGGGGGTTTTTTTTGGTCATAGAACACCCAGAACGGAGTTCCGGCACATTTTTTTGGATGGAACCTTGTAGGGTAGGCAAGGCGGGTTGTATGACATGTGTGAGTTCCAGCACCTTTTTTTTTTTTTTTTTTTACACAAAAAGCACTGCATACACAACATCTCCAGGAAGAGGTACTTGTTCCAAGAAACCACAACTCTTCCTTCCTTTTCCCAATCCTTCTGTCACCTATTAACCCTCCCACCTTCAGCAAGGGCATCAAGATGGGTTAATGCACCCCCCCCCTTTGACCCTTCATCAGCCACCCCCCAACTCAGTCCCTCCACCACATTCCCCAGCTAGGTAGAAGCCAGGGCAGGGCCACCACTATTTCTCCAGGACCCCCCTCCCCAAAGGGATTGGCGCTCTTGACCCCTTCCCCCCCCCCCCGCTACCCGCAGGGCCACATCTGGGAAGCATCAAGGTGGGGAAGGAGGTGGGCGACCTTGGACCCCGCTCTTTTCCCTCGTTTTACCGCTCAAGCGGCGGAGCCCCCTCCCCACCCACCGCCCCCCCCCACCGCTCGGCGCGTGCCAGGACCCTCCCCGCCGGCAGAAGGGACGCCAAAGCGGGCGGGGGTCAGCAACGAGGGAGGCTGGAGCGGCCAGGACGCCCCCTGTCCCTCTCTTTCGGGGCCCGGCAGAGGTTGCCGGGCTGCCCAGCCCCGCGCCGGCGATGCCCGCCAGCCGCCCGCAGAGCCTCACCTTGGCCGCTGCCGGTCCGGCCGAGAGGCGCTGCTCCTCCTTTTTCTCCTTCTTCTCTTCCTCCTCCTCTTCCTCCTTTTCCTTCTCCTTCTTATTCTCCTTCTTCACCACTCCTTCTTTCTCCTCCTTTCCTTCTTCTCCTGCCCCTTTTCCTTCTCCTTCTTCTCCTCCTCCTCCTCCTCTATCTAATTCTTCTTTTCCTTCTTCCTTTCTCACTCCTTCTCCTCCTTCCCCTTCTCCTTCCCTCCGCTCGGGAGAAAGAAGAAGCCCCGCCGAAGAGTGACTCAAAAGCGGAAAGGCGCTGCCACCACCAGCCTCCCGCCCTCCCACCCCGGCCGGGGCTCCCCGGCCCTGCCCTCTAGCGGCGCTGCCTCTGCCAGGGGAGCGCTCCGCTTTGCGCCAATCCTAAGCGGGCGCAGCCGCTGGCCGGGAAAGCGCGCGGAACGGCGAGGCGCGCGCTGCGCCCGCCCCCCCCCAAGCTGCCCGCAGAACAGGTGCGCCGGGGGCGGGGCCTTCGAGAAGCCCCGCCTCTAGCCGCCCCCGTCTCTCTTCCACCCTTGCCCCCCACCCCTCCATTCCCGCCGAAAAGGTATTTTCGGTGTCCCTCGTCTGGAGTTGTGCTTTTTATTGTTATTGTTATTATTATTAAAGTTGTACAAAGCAGATAAAAGCTAACATCAGCTGAAAGAAAGAAAGAAAGAAAGAAAGAAAGAAAGAAAGAAAGAAAGAAAGAAAGAAAGAAAGAAAGAAAGAAAGAAAGAAAGAAAGAAAGAAAGAAAGAAAGAGAAAGGAGGGAGGAAGGAAGGAAGGAAGGAAGGAAGGAAGGAAGGAAAGGATTGTGCTTTTTATTCATCAACATGGAAAGAAAGAAAAGAAAGAAAGAAAGAGGGAGGGAGGGAGGGAGGGAGGGAGGAAGGAAGGAAGGAAGGGAAAAATGCAGAAAAGAGAATTGGAAAGAAAAAAAATAGAAAAAGAAGCTTCTGATTTCCAAATATTAGACACACATATATATTTAGGATATAAAAGTATAATTAAAGAGTTATGTATGGTGAAGGTGTCACTTTCTTGAACATGCATCCTCTTGTCTTATTTTCCTTTTTGTCCTCTTTGAATGGCTAATAATTTCCCGTCTTATCCATATTAATTTTGCTAATTTTATTAGTATTATGATTAATGATAGCCTCCTTGTTGAACTTCTCTGATCCTTGCTGGTCTGATTATAATAAATCGGATTCCCAACGCCTCTGGGTTGGGACTGCAAGCATACATTTGATTGGCTGTAAGGTATTACCAAGTGCCCTCTTCACCTAATAGAGAGCCCATTAGATAAAAATTAGGATTATGCCGGTGATCTTAGTGGGTGACAAAGTATATTTTAAAAGCGCTTTTGATCAATTCAATGCAGCATGAAGCAGATATTCTTGTAGTTAACATTTCTCTTCTGCTCAACTCCCAGGGGCTTGACTGAAATCGAATGATACGCAATTACGGAGAAAGAAAATGATGGGTTTTTTTTAAAAAAAACAGAGGATCTTCATCCGTGTTCGGAGCTGACAACCTGTTGTCTAAAAGCATCTCTTTGGGAAAGAGGAAGAATCACATCACCTGATCAAGCCAACCCGCTAATCTCAATATGAACATCTGCCTTTCTTTAACTAAAGAGGAAGCAGCTTTATCAGGCCTGCTAACTGCATAAGCACCATCTATTCTTGATTATATCCTTTCATATCCTGTGCAAATGCATCAAATTAGAAATGGCTGACTACTGTCTCTTTCGCCCTTCAACTAGCCAGGTTCCCTCCCTTGTTTATATTACAAAGACTCCTTTATTTGCTGACCTTTACCACCTGTTTCTCCAGCAGATGCTAATTCTTACGCCCCCCCTCTAACAAAACAGCCCCCGTCTGGTGTGCCTCTTTTATTAAGGGCGGACCGTTTTCTGGAGAGAGGATAATGATCAAGGAGGTGCACTGGTTTTATTTGTTTATCCATTAAATTTATCCAGGGAAAGGATTCGTTTCCCCAGGCTTCTCCACGTAGTAATAGGAGAGATGGAGAAAGTTGCTGCTTCTCCTTGGTGAGGATAGATTCACTCGCTGACATTTGATTTAGCCACAACTTGAGCAGTGGCTCAGCGGTTAAGACTTAAGACGCTGGGCTTGTTGACTAGAAAGCTAGCAGCCTAGATTTGAGACCTGAGCACAGCGCGACGGGTTGAGCTCCCATTCCTTGCTGCAGTTCCAAAGCATGCAAATGCGAGTAAGTAAACAGGTAGCACTTCGGTGGGAAGGTAACAGCGCTTCGTGACGTCATGCTGGCCACATAACCATGGAAATGTCTTCTGACAGTGCTGGTTCAATGGCCTTGAAATGGAGATAAACACCGCCCCCCCTATAGTCGGCAATGACTAGCAGAGTAAAAAGAGACAATCAACCAGCTCCAAAGAGAAAAAGACTCCAGCACCTCTCAAATCAGCATAGATTAACTCCAAGGTCACCTTCAGACCAACAGTCTAGTAAGCAAGACCCCAATAAGAAACGGTCACAGAGCCATTAGTAAACAGCCCAACCAAAGAATCCCTAAGACCGCCCACAACCACCCAGACAGGCAAGACACCAGAATATAAACCAACAGCAAACAGCACTCCCTACCGGCACTGATGGTGTTACTAGTTTGGGTCATGAAACGTCTGCAAGAAAACAAGCAAGCTCAGAGACCACCAAGGACCCCACAATCCTCCTCCTCCTCCTCCTCCTCCTCCAACCCCATTTCCTTCTAGTACTGATGATGTTATTAGTTTGGGTCATGAAATGTCTGCAAGAAAACAAGCAAGCTCAGAGAGCACCAAGGACCAGACAGTCTCCTCCTCCTCCTCCTTCTCCTCCTCCTCCAACCCCATTTCCCTCTAGTACTGATGAAGTTACTAGTTTGGGTCATAAAATGTCTGCAAGAAAACAACCCAGCTCAGAGAGCACCAAGGACCCCTCATTTCAATCCTGAGCTACAAACTGTCTCCTTCATTGGAATAAAATCTGCAGGGACTCCTTGGTTTACTTACAACCATAAAGTAAGTTATCATGGTTAGATTGAACCACAATACACAAAGTCAGAACTCCAGAATTGTGTGGTAGTCCTCAACATAGAACAATTCGCTTAGTGACTGTTTGAAGTTTCAACAGCACTAAAGCGACTTAACGAACAGCCCTCACACATACAACGTTGCAACATCCACACAGTTGGCTTGAGATTAAATAATAAGCAGACACCTCTTTTCCCTTAAATAAATCATCCTTTCTATTTTATTATACTGGGCACACTTCATATGAAGTGGCTGATGGCTATAAAGCCATCTACGGTATTTATTAGGTGATTGGACGTGGCTGTTTCCTTGGGAACAGGGCTGTGTAACCTTTATGTACTATTTTTAAGTTAAAATGAACTTGCCTATGTACTGCAGTCTACAAGCATTTTACTGATGTATTTTTGGTGACCACTGTCTCTGGAGCGTGGTTGATTTGGATGGGGATTGTAGTAGAGCCTGTTTGGGCTAATGGCTAAAGAGACTGTGAGTTCTAGTCCTGCCTAAGGCACAAAGCCAGCTGGCTGATCTTGAGCCAGTCCCTTTCTCTAAGCCCTAAGAAGGAGGCAATGGAAAACCACTTCTGAAAAAACTTGCATTAACTCATCTAGGCAATTTTTAAGAATCAGACAAAATCGAACAGAAGGGGGGGGGGAGTCACAGTAAGGTATCTGTTAGTCTCCTGTTCTTATTACTCTGCACCAGATAGGGCATTCTGTGTAAAGTTACATCTGTTCCCAGATTTTTTTTTGTTTTTAAATCTTGCCAAACTGAAATCTAATTTGAAGCAAAAACCTGCTCTAGTTCTGTATTTTTAATGGACCAGCACCACCTGTTGGTCAGCCAACATTACAAGTATTTTAGTACATTCAACACCACCCGTTTTTTACCAACCAAATTAGATTTTGTTGCTCTCTTGCAAGATGGGCTTATCGTCAAAAAGGGAAAGGAAACCACATGCCTGTAGACTATCAGGAGATTGCCAGAGTGCTAGTATTATTACTTTTTTATTCACAGAAGGGCAGGTTTAAAAAAAATAGCAAAAACAATAGGCCCCTCTGGCTAATGGATTCGGTCTCCAAGTTAAGTCAATTTCTACACCGTACACCTTTTCTGCAATGATGGCCCACCCAAATCGGACCACTATAAAATGGATAACTCTTATAAAAGTTGCATCCCTTCCAGAAATTGCTAACTAGTTGCTTTTTTTAAAGTTTTCACAAGACCAAATAATGCGTGACTGGAACGTAACCATGTCATCCATATTTTAGGCATGCATACAATCGTGCCAAAATTGATTGAATTGTCCCCAGTATATTCAGAGTAAAAAAATGGGAGGAGCACCAACACTTTGTACGAAATCAGTAGAAAGTAGAACGCACAACAGTCTGGTTAGCAAACCGCAACACAAATGGTGGAAGACTATTAGAATTTATTGATGGGAGTTAAACTTAAGACATCTTTGCTCAGTAGATCAAGCTTCTCCTCAGCAGGGATTTTGAGATGGGAAAAATCTATTACATCCAAACCTTAGGTCTGTAAATAGTTAACTTGGCCATTTTGGAGAGTTGGTTGGTAAAATAAAAAGTGGTGAACAAAAAAAAAAAAAATCACATGCCTTAAAACAGAAAATAGATGCCATGAATGATAAAACGTTGTTGAAACATTTATTTATATATATATATTTCACAAAATTTTTCACAAAAAAGTATTGAAACTCAAAAAAGGAATTAGATTTGAATTGAATACAGAGATGAAGTGTACAAGATTAATGAGCAGGCAAAAATTAAAAAGGTACTGAAAGTGATTTTTTTTTTTAAACTTCGGATTGAAAAAAAGACGAACAGTTCAACTGTTCGGTTTAAATAAAAGATTTGCTAGATATACATGTGTTTCATGAATACCAATGCTGGTTAGTTGAGGCAAGTAAAATTCCTCAATTTTTTTCCTTCATGCTTTCTTCTTCTTCTTCTTCTGTTAGAAAGATACTGTTTACAAAATGAAACTTCAGCAGTCCAGGAAAAGCTATTTTTCCATTAAAATTTATGAAAACCATAAATTGAGACAAACCTAAGATTCCCAATGGAATCAAGATTATCTTCCTGCTACCACCACATTAAAATAATCACATGCTTATTGGAACACCAACCGCTGCAACGTGACAGGACACTTGTTTCCAACAAAGAGGGTGATTTTTCTGAAAAATTGAATAAAAACCTTTAGTCTGGTGCAGTAATACAGACTGGTGTATTACATTTGTAACAGCATTTTTAAAATGGCAGCAAATAATAATACTTGATTAAAATAATTTAGAATTTTGTTCCCAAAACAGAGTAAGGGTAGGCCTACAGTTATAAAATATATTTTTAACTCCAAATAAATACTCTGATAATGCATAATGTGAATCCTTGTAACAAATTCTAGTTAACGAAAGGCATTTGGATTTTTTAAAAAATTATTGGAACAAAACATCACTAATAACTCTGTAAAGTTAACACTTTTTAAAAAAAAAATAAAAAAAATGCCTAAGGTTTTAGACCATTATGATATTTGAATTTTGTCTTCCCCGCCCCTTTCTTCTTTGTTTTGAAGTCAAAATGCTTTATCATCTAGTGTTATTTTATTAATTTTTCAGTCATGACAGTTTTTGGTCGTGTTGCATTATTATAGTTATTATTCACTTAAAAAGCTCTTGCACGCTACCGGTGCCAAGTTGGTCTGCAATTTAACAAAAGAAACATCTAAAAGTCAGCATTTCTCTTCAAAAAAAAAAGGTATGTCTTCATTCTCCAGATCGCATACACCCAATAATCTTACATTCGGAATAACACGCTTTCCTCTTTAAAGAAAATAAAAAGTTACAGTAAACGTCACTTTTACATTCTATCCATTAAAGTGCTCCTTTGTCTGGGTTCCCCCCCCCCCCAAGATAAAGCAAGTGACTGCAATTCAACCCCATCCATTCTGCATTCACAGCACGGATTTCAATTCTGTCTTAAAATCCAAGGCCTGGGTGAGCTAGGAAACCATCTTACGAGGCGGGAGAATTTCAGGAAGAATAAACACGGCGTGGTGCTTCTTTAGACAGCATTACCAATGCCGTCCCGTTATTGAAGACTGTTTAATTCTCTTTTAAGGGTGGATTAAAAAGTCTCTGAAAAGGGAATGAGGTAACATTCAGGTTTTTCTTAAAGAGAAAAGAACACAACAATTCAACCATTTGCATTAACAATTCTCCTTACTTTTTTTTTTAAAGGAAGAGCTATAAAGCTGCAAGAGAAGGGAATTTTTTTCTTTTAAAAAAATAAATCCAGGATAAAAGCATGCCAAAAAAAAAACAACAGCATTGGAATTACACTATCCTTCCCCAATCTGGTGCTTTTCAAAAAATGTTGATTTACAACTCTCATTGCTCTCAGCCAGCATAAGCGTAATGAAAATTGCAGCCCCAAAGGCATGTGGAAACACACCAGATGGATTTACAAGGAAGACTTGAAAATACAGACATCAACATGTTCGTTTTTTTTCCTTAATGCAGCAACGCATACTCCTTCCTTTAATAAAGTAACTTGGTTTCCTACTTTGAAAGCAAACAAACAATGATTTCCCATTAAATCTAACCTGGAATATCCCATCGCCTGAGTGATGATGGCACTTTTTAAAAAAAGAGTTTGTGAAAAGTTTGGTTTTTTTTTTTTCCTTCCCCAGAGTGGAATACAAGATCAGAGTTGACAACAGAATGTATTTGTATATTTTATAAACAAGCATTTGCCCTGGCATCAATCTTTTTTTTTTTTTCTTTCTTTTTCCTTCAGAGAACCAACTTGTGCCCACAGGTCAATGCTAAAAAGAAAAGCATCACAACGATGAGCTATGTCATTCACTACATTTGTCCGTTGTTCAGATGACAATTCAGCTTTTGGTTCTTTTGTTGATGTTGTTTTCAATTAAATGAATCATTGAGGGGGGGGGAGAGAGAAAAAGGAAAATAAATTTTTCTACAATTTAAACGGTAATGTTATGTAAAAAGTATTAACAAATCCACTATTACAAATGTCAAATTTGCTATATGGTCATCTATACATACACAATAAAATGGCAAATGTTTTGCAAAAATAATTTTAAAATTATCACATGAGAATTTACTCTTTTTGAGGTTTGGGTTGCCCTCGAATTACGTATTTCCCCCGGGTTTTTTTTCTTCTTTTTTAAAAAAATCCTTTGTTTTATTTCAGTTAATTACCAAACTTTTAAATACACTGTAATCTACCCCTAGACGTCAGCTCTGAAGCTGACGGGATATAATTATTTTACATTCAAGCTTTTTATATCTAAACAACCCTGTCGTAGCATATGACTTATTGGATAAGCAGCCTTCTCCTCTTCCTCCTCCTCCCTCCCACCCATGTTTTATTTTTTATTTTATTTTATTTTATTTTTTTTGTGTTTTGTTTTGTTTTGTTTTTTTGCAGTTATTCAGTCTTCATGATCGGTTTTTCGTGGCGAGCTGGAAAAAAAAAACCAAAAAAAAAAAAAAACAAAAACCCTAAAATGCGTTGCTAATCAACGTTCCAACAGTCTTGAGACTCCAGACCGGACCTTGGAAGCCATTTTGTCCAAGTTCTTCTCGTAGCATGAGAGCATTGCACACAGGGGGACAAGTCCAACCGTCAAAGAGGGGAAAACTATCTACATAAGTCTGAAAGCACAGCGTCCCTCTTGTGTTTCCTTTTTTTCCCGTGGTAAAATTGTTGTGGCTTAGTGCCCTGGTACTGTTTGTTCGTCACCAAGGTGCCGTGGCTGGAATTTCCTGGACCCTGGAGACTTTTGTTGGAAGAAGTGCGGAAGAGCCTCATGGATCCGTGCTGTCGGACAGAAGAGAGGAGAGAAAGGAAAGGTGAAGACCAGCAGCTGTTCCACAACAAGAGTATAAAATAATGTAAGGGAGTCGGTTGGATCTAGTGGCGAAGGCACTAGCTAGAAACTGGGAGACGGTGAGTTCTAGTCCTGCCCTAGGCATGAAAAGCTGGCTGGTTGACTTTGGGCCAAATCACCAGGAGACTGGGAGTTCTAGTCTCATTTTAGGCATGAAAGCTGACTGGGTGACTTTGGACCAATTGCCAGGAGGCGGTGAGTTCTAGTCCTGCCTTAGGCATGATAGCTGGCTGGTTGGCTTTGGGCCGATCACCAGGAGACTGGGAGTTCTAGTCTCATTTTAGGCATGAAAGCTGGCTGGATGACTTTGGACCAATTGCCAGGAGGCGGTGAGTTCTAGTCCTGCCTTAGGCATGAAAGCTGGCTAGTTGATTCTGGGCCAATCACCAGGAGACTGGGAATTCTAGTCCCATTTTAGGCGTGAAAGGTGACTGGGTGACTTTGGACCAATCGCCAGGAGACGGTGAGTTCTGCCTTAGGCACGAAAGCTGGCTGGGTGACAACCGCTCTCTTTCATCTCAATGGACTTACTTAATTAGAAAGGCGGGATTAAAAAGAAACCTAATCAAATGAATTTACGTGAAAAGAGCGACATGACCAACGCTCAGTCCTGCATTTCTACTTATTGGCAAGGGGATGGCCATTATTCCTAGACTTCGGGTATCCCAAGCTGTGTTTAAGCTCAATCTTCTAGTGTCTCTACCCTTAACCTATTTCTAGGCCAGTGGTTCTCAACCTGTGGGTCGGGACTCCATTTGGGGTCGAACGACCATTTCACGGGGGTCACCAAACAACGCAGTCCGCCATTTTTTCCCCCTTTTCCTTAGCTGTGCGACTCCCTTTTATTCTATTGGCTTTTGAAAGCCAATAGAATAGACTCTCTTGAATAGAGTCCAATTCTATTGGCTTTCAAAAGCCAATAGGAATGGTCCAGACTGTCTCTGCCCTGCTGAGCCTGCCAAAAGTCCCATTCTGCAAACGGTGCTGCACCAGTTGAGTAGTCCTCGACTTACGACCGGTTGAGTAGTCCTCGACTTACGACCGGTTGAGTAGTCCTCAACTTACGACCGGTTGAGTAGTCCTCGACTTATGACCGGTTGGGGGTCGCGGCATTAAAAAGGTTGAGAACCACTGGTCTAGGGCGAGGAGAGAATCACAGCCCCGCGTGGGCTTCAGACATTTTGAGAGGAACCGAGACTGAGCTCAGGGCCATACCGACCTGGGACTTGTTGGTCACACTGGATGTGTTCACGGTTTGTCCATTTGGCATTCTGCCGCTCAGCTGAGAGGACCCGAGGGAGATCTCCTGAGATGCTAGTCTGTTTGTCGAAGTCTGGCAGGAGCCCAGCTGTTTTGAGGTTTTGCACGGGGTGCCGTCCGACTCCTGTGGAGAAAGGCGCGGAAGGATGACTCCGCCCATTTCAGCACCTTCAAAAACTACATGCAAATACGAGAATTCTGTCGAAATACAGGTGGCCCTTGACATGACTTTAGTGGAATTTCCTGCAATTTCCATCGTTAAGTCACGACAGTCGTTAAGTTGAAGCGCTCAAGTGAACTTGCCTGATTTTACTCTTTTTTTTTTTGTGGCAGTCATTAAGCAAATCAATATATCAATGTAAATCGCATCACGTTGACTATGGAAGGCTGTGACCAGAAATACAGGTGAGGTGGTTGCCAAGTATCCAACATGCGGACATGTAACTATTGTGTGTCTCTCTCTGTATGTGTTTTGTGCAACCCCTGGAACTCCAGAACTGGGTCATAAGTCACTCTTGGAGGAAACATCCTCATAACTCTGAATGATCACTAAGGGGCCAGTCACTAAGTGAAGACTATCTTTAAGTGGCTGGATACTTTCTCCCTTCTGTTCTGACAGACCAACTTTATAGCCCAGGAATGCTTCTAAATTATATTTTATAATCTTCATACGTTCACTGCTACACTAGAGATCTGCATGGCTAAACAATGCGACAGGGTTTTCTGGATAGAATTCCAAAATTTGCAGCCTTATGAAGGGCGGGTTCTGGATTGCTTTTTCCTCATCTGCTCAGGATTTTTCCAATTCGCTAAGGAGGTCTTGTGTTTTATTTCAGGCAGATAATAATAATAATAACAAAAACAACAACATCTGGCTGACTGTGCGATGACTCATAATAATAATAATACAGCTGGAAGGGACCTTGGAAGTCATCTAGTCCAACCCCTTGCTCAGGCAGGAAACCCTATACTATTTCAGACAAATGGCTGTCCAGTCTCTTCTTAAAAATTCCCAGTGCTGGAGCATTCACAACTTCTGGAGGCAGGTTGTTCCACTGGTTAATTGTTCTAACTGTCAGGAAATTTCTCCTTAGTTTCAGGTTGCTTCTCTCTTTGGTTAGTTTCCATCCATTGTTTCTTGTCCTGCCTTCAGGTGCTTTGGAGAATAGCCTCACTCCCTCTTCTTTGTGGCAGCCCCTCAAATATTGAAACACTGCTATCATGTCACCCCTGGTCCTTCTTTTCTTTAGAGTAGCCTTATTTGCTTGTATCCAAGTGTGATATATAATTCTTATATCAGTGGGTTAAGCTGAGGTATGACTTTGAAATCTGCTATATTTTTTCAGCTCTGATGAATGCCTGGCTTTTTTAGAAGTGGCAGGAAGGATGTATGTTTAATTTGTACCATATGAATTCCATTGCACGGAAAATTATGTGTAGGAAACCAACACGCTGCTCTCATCGAACCCTGCTATCATGTCACTCCTAGTCCTTCTCTTCATTAAACTAGACATACCCAATGTTTCTCAACCTGGGGCAATTCTTAAGATGTGTGGACTTCAAATCCCAGAATTCCTCAGCCGGAGTGCTGGGAGTTGAAGTCTTAAAAGTTGCAAGTCTGAGAATCCTTGTTCTCGGGCATTTAGAGGCAACAGTGCGGTAATTCGATCTGCGTTTGATCAGGACGTGATACTTACTACGTCGCTGGAGCTGGAGAGGGTGGATGAGGATGACGAGAAGGGACCCGATGAAGAATTTGATGAATGTTTGCTTGGGGTCTCTGAAGTTTTATTTCTCGGTTTTCCTAGGGACTGGTTCTCTTCGGAAATGTTGTTGTTATATTTGTCCAGCTGTTGATTATCCACTATTAATGCCACTCCATTACCTGGTACCAAAGAGGAGAGGAGAATAAGCACCGTTTCGCAATAAAGGAGTTTTGTGATCATGATAAAATGACTTTGGGAAATGAGGTTATTTCTGCAGCCAGGCACACCATGTCCCCAGATATTGTTGGATTAGAATTATAGTAATCCTTGATTTACAACCATTTATTTAGCAGCTGTTCGAAGTTACAAAGAGGCTGTGGAAATAAAAAAAGAGACTTGTGACAGGGTCCTCACACTTATGACTGCTGCAAAGTCCCTGTGGCCCCATCACCGTGATTCAGGCCCTCGGCAACTGTCACACGTTTGTGAAGGTCCCAGCATCCCACTGTCACATGATCACCATTTGCAACTTTCCCAGCCAGCTTCCAGCAAAATGGCAGGCAAATTGCAGTCACATGATGTCTCACTTAATAACCGGTGATTCACTTAATGTCCACAGCGAAATCAGTCATAAAATTGGGTATGGTCATAAGATTCCTCACTTAGCAACCGCAACACAATTTTCTGGTCCCTATTGTGGCGTAAGTCAAGGACTCCCGATATTACTATTTCCTTGGAAGTGATTTTCTGATAAATCAAATATTTCTCAGAGTCACAGGAAGGTACCCAGATACTGGATCTAGTTTACCTTGATTCTTTTTGCCATTTCCCTTCCCCACTCCATGCTGTATTAATTACACAACAAATCTGGCGACAATATGAACAGAGGTAAGGAAAGCCAATGGAAAAGTTTAAAATACTGGAAAGAGGCAAGGCACAAGAGAAGTAATTCAGAATGTGTTAATTATTATTATTTTTTTAAGTTTCCAGAGGGAGAAAAAATGGTGGCCTATTTAAAGCAAAACTTTTTTCAGCTCTCCAAAGAATTTGCAGAATTTTCTGTTCAGCGCCATTTAAGGAATTCCCGCTAGGCAAATGGAACAGAAATGAAGTTTTTAGGAAACAAATTTGTCCACTCAACGTAAAGAGGGTGTTTCGCAAAGTCAGCTTAACGAGGATGTTTTGTAACACAGTCTAAGAATGGTCAGACTCTGCTGAAAGTTATTTGCCCTGACATGTGCTGTTTAAATCAGCAACTCTTCTCCATAAATATCTCCATAAATATCCAGCTATGCGGAAAGGTATCTGTGTTTCTCGGGTTAATGAAAAATTATCTTTGAACTTTGTAATTCTTCTCTCCTCCCACCTGAAGAATTAGCCTTCTACTCAAACCTATATACCCAACCTGCAAACATCTGGCTTTTCTTTATTGGTGCTTTGTTTATTCAGAAGTACTCTATCATATCTAAATGGCATAAATTATTTCAAACTATGATTTTCTGGATCCGTGAATTCTAAGGAATTGACATCACTGTTCTTCCATCCAAATATATATTTCCAGCTCAACAGAGTCCGATAAGAGTGTAACTTTTTTTTTTAAATCTTCCTTTGGAGGAAAACAATGTTAAAGCTTAATAAAAGAAATAGTTTCTTGATTTTATTTTCATGTAGTGAAAGCATTGCATGAGAAGTGGCTTGTGCAGTGATGAATGGAGCTATTTCCAAATAGGCCCATAAATTCAATTTTAATGCTTTATTGCTTGAGCCATTCGGGATCCAGCTGTTTTCTCAATCTACTGCTCTCTCCATGCCAATCCAGCTTAATGCTGGTTAGAATATTCGGAATAACTTAGCAATAGGCCAATGGCTTCTGATTCCTCTTATATTATTACAGAATTATTTTATTACTTGTCAGCATAAGGTTACTGCCAGGCAAACCTTTTTGCAGATTTAGCTGTTGTTATTCTATGGTTCTTTATGTTGATCAGTAGCTGGTTTTAAAAATCAAAACCTTTTAATTGCAGACTCAATTAAATACCTGAAAGTCTATTTTCCAGATTTTATTACCTGTTCTCGACTTACAACTGGTTGCTCAGCAAACATTTGAAGTTCCAATTGACCTACGTGACTTCAAATGTTCGCTAAGCAACCAGGTGTAAGTCAAGGACTAACTCTACTAATCCCAGATATGAAGTTCTGACAGTTGAGCTATCCCGTCACCTTACTTACGGTGCCTGGCAACCGCAGGCCCGCCCATTTACGGCCATCTGCAGGATCCCACAGTCATGGGAACATGTTTTTGCAATGGTTCTGCTAAAAACACCCCAGATATTTTTGGGTTTTTTTTGGCAAAACTGGTCCCTAGCGAACCATGGGTTTGCTTAACAACCGTTGTGCCATTGTGGGTCACTTATGTGACCAACCTGCTTTACAACCGTCATAGGCAAGCTGCGTTAGTCATATCTCAAGGACTCTTTGTATCCTTGCAATATTGCTGCATGCACTTCTAAAGTCTCTTACCATTGCATGACGTCTCGGCATTATTCTGTATCCCCCACTGCTTGGATATCCACTCTCTGTAGGTCACCACTTCCTGCGTAACTCGGATAATTCTTCCTAATATGCTGCAACATTTAAAGACAAATTTTATGTATATACACGCATACAGATTACTGGATTGGAAGGTGGGGGAAAAAGAAAGAGATCAGCAACATCTCTGGCTGAAACACCAAATGTTTGTTTACCTTTCGCTTTCGTTATTGGGATAACATTTAGCTATTGGTGAGACTGCATGGCTCAGAACAACGTAGGCATAATCGAAGGCCTGCTTAACTTGCATGGCGCCATACGAACTTCTTCCAACATCATTGCCTTTTTTTTTTTTTTAAAGAGCAATAGAAAAAAACAGCAGTTAGGAAAAAAGTAGTCAGAAGTTAGAAAGTATGGTTATTTCTTAGCCTTGTTCAGAAGCCTTTAACCAGGGGTCTTCAAACTAGGCCCTTTTATGACTTGCGGACTTCAACTCCCAGAATTCCTCAGCCTGGCTGACAAATTCTGGGAGTTGAAGTCCGCAAGTCACAAAAGGGCCAAATTTGAAGACCCCCGCCTTTAACCATTTCTGCTATTCTTCCAAATTAAAAACAAAGCTAAAGTCATATGGCTATAGTTGCAGCTAGTCCTTGGCGTGACATAATGGAGCCTGCCCGTTATGATCCCATGTTGTGACAGTTGTTAAAATGGGTCCGTCACATGATCATTTTATAGTTGCCAAAAAGACTCCCCTAGAAGTTGCTGGCAGCAACTCCCAGCATCCTGGGCCACTGGTGATGTTGGCCGGTAGCACATGTTCTGTAGCCAATCACCATCTGGGGATCCACCCGGGAAGGGCGGGGCTAATTCAACAGGTAATCCACACCTAGCAGTGCCAGAGGTCCAACTTTCTAAAAGAGTCGAGTATAATTATAAAACGCAGGAGATGCCTTGGCAAACCACATGTGGGTGACTTTAGGATGCTCTCCAGATGGTTTGAAAATTTCATTTATAGAAGAATGTTATAGCCAGATTATTCATTGGGCCTGTCTCTGGGATCAGGAGATTCTCCTGTGGCTTCCAATCACTCATCAGGCTTTGGGATTCAAAGTGCTGGCAAAAATATTTAAAATGTATCTGGGTTCAGAAGCCTGATCTTTAGTGGATCATCTTTTTCCAAATAAGTTTTCTCATTCAAGTTAGAGGCAGCAGATCAGGACTACAAAACTCCAGGCAATGACTAGACAGCAGCAAAGAGCTACAGGAATAGAGATCCAGGCTCTTCCCTGTCATCTAATCCCATTTTATTTTATTTATTTTATTTTAGTATGAAATTTATTTGCCGCCCATCTCATACCCAACGACTTTGAGCGGCTTACAACATAATCTGTAAGTCTATTAAACTGGCTGTATGCCCCAAATCATGCCATCATATTAGTCAATCATGAATAAATCAAGCCACAAGGAAAATATCGGGGAAAGATGGAATCAGGAGTGAAATATTTTCACTGGCTTTCACTGTGTGTCAAAAACCCCTCTTAATCTAACGCAAAACCCCAATACCTGGTTGCAGTGGATCCTCAATATACAACATGGATGGTCTGTAACCATCTAGCATATTCTTCTGAACTTCATCCTTGGCTACGTAGGAACCCCCATCCTTGATTCGGATCCCTGTTTTCAGGTAGTTGAAATGACGGCCGTATAGTTCAAAAAATTCTATTAAAAGGACGCCATAATTGGCATTGGGGGTGCAGGCGTCCCCCCTGGGATGTAGCTGTTGGAAAGAAGCAAAAGGGGTTGAGAAAACCCAACTTCAATTTTCTGGACCATCCCATTCAAAAATCATACAAAGAATGGCTGCGTGACTTGGGTTTGGCTAGTCTAAAGAAAAGAAGAAATAGTGGAGACATGTGTTCCAGTATCTGAGGGGCTGCCACAAGGCAGAAGGGGTCAGGTTGTTCACCAGAGCACCAGAGGGAAGGAAGAGAAACAATGGTTGGATGCTGAACAAGGAGAGAAGCAACCTGGAATTAAGGAGAAACTTCCTGACAATGAGGACAATCAACCAGTGGGACAGCTGGCCTCCAGAAATCGTGGGTGCTCCATCGCTGGAGATTTTTAAGAAGAGACTAGACATTCACCTGTCTGAGACAGTGTAGGTTCTCCTGCTTGAGCGGGAGGCTGGACTAGAAGACCTCCAAGGTCCCTTCCAGCTCTATTCTATTCTATTCTAGTCTATTCTATTCTAGTCTAGTCTATTCCTTGTTCTCTATTCTATTCTGTTCTATTCTAGCTCCTATTCTATTCCAGATTCTTCTCTTCCTTGTTCTGTATTCTATTCTATTGTTTTATTCTAGCTCTTATTCTTTTCTAGCTCCTATTCTATTCCAGATTCTATTCCAGATTCTATTCCAGATTCTATTCTATTCTATTCTATTCCAGATTCTATTCCAGATTCTATTCTATTCTATTCTAACAACTGAATGAAATCCGTGAAAAGAAAGCCCAGCCACTGAAGAACAAGAATCCTGCACCATAAAAAGCATTTTCCAATCTCCTAGACAGGATATGTCCCACCCTCAATACAGCAATCCAATAACTTCAAATGCTTTCAAGCCTATCTCTGCAAAATTCCTGATGGGGCCCCTCTTGTGGTAGCAGCAACATCTGTAGCTGCCGTTCTGCATAACTCCATCAAACTAATTCTACAACTCTATGATGGGGCTTTACACATCATGCTATACACTTTTGTTATTTCTTTATTTCCCGCCTTTATTATTTTTACAAATAACTCAAGAGAGTGAACGTATCCAACACGCCTTTCTCCTCCAACTGATTTTTTTTTAAAAAAAAGTTTTAAATTCTGTACCATTATGAGCAGTAAGGGATATGCAACTATTAGGACATAGGTTCATGAACCGTCAGAAAAGAATTTTAACTTACTTGGAGAAAGCTGACAGCCATTAAAAAAAGACTGTAAGATCCGATTCCACCTATGAATACTTCATTGAGGTCCCTTTGCAATAAGAACTGTTTCAATACTAAAACTAAATATGGCAATACAGGATATTTCTGCAAAAAGAAGAAGATGGAAATTAAATTTTTACTTCTTGGGTGTTGTCCGGTTAGAACAGCGTTTCTTAACCTCGGCCCCTTTCAGATGGGTGGACTTCAACTCCCAGAATTCCGTGGAATTCAAAGCCGAGTAACTACAGATTAGATAAGACAGGACAACTTCATTGCAAAGGGTTTTTTTGACATATCTATCTATATACAGCAGCGGTTCTCAACCTGTGGGTCGGGACCCCATTTGGGGTCGAACGACCATTTCAAGGGGGTCGCCAAACAACGCAGTCCGACATTTTTTTCCCCTTTTCCTTAGCTGTGCTACTCCCTTTTATTCTATTGGCTTTTGAAAGCCAATAGAATAGACTCTCTTGAATAGAGTCTAATTCTATTGGCTTTCAAAAGCCAATAGGAATTGTCCAGGCTGTCTCTGCCCTGCTGAGCCCGCCAAAAGTCCCATTCTGCAAACGGTGCTGCACCAGTTGAGTAGTCCTCGACTTACGACCGGCTGAGTAGTCTTCGACTTACGACCGGTTGGGAGTCGCGGCATTAAAAAGGTTGAGAACCACTGATATACAGGTTGAATTGTAAAATGTTCTCCGCCCTTCTGCCATAAAATTCTGATAAGTCTAATAATTCGCCTGCAGCTCCAGGAACAAAAAGTTACTGCCAAGATTAAAAGAATCGGTATGCAGCATCGAAGGCCAAACTTTGCTTGCCTTTAAAACTCAAACAGAGTTTGGATACGGAAATACAATTTTCAGGGGACAGGAAGGGGGGGGGGAAATAAAGGAGAATATTTGTAGCACAGGGTTGACATATGGGGTCCTTGGTCCTTATTTTCTTGCAGCTGTTTCATGGGAGGAGGGGAGAGAAGAATCCCAAATTCTAATTTTAAAACGGTTGTGCTCTCTAGTGGATATGATGAAAAATGACAAGCGTTGCTAGAGGCGTGCGCTCTGAATTATTATTTTTTTCCCCTCTCTGAAATTTCCAACTGTGCCCTTTGCGAGAAGACATGCACACCACCCCTGATGTTTTTCTTTTTCTCTATGCATATTGCAGGAGCCTGATTTATCATCTTGGTGCTCCGAAAGGAGATCCCTTGGTTCAACTATCTCCCCTGTGAGGTCCTTGGTGGTCTCTGAGCTTGTTTGTTTTTCTTGCAGACAGCTGGTTTGAAAGAGGGATCAAAGAGGCCATCTATGTCAAAACTGAACAGCCCTCTCTCAACAGAGGGGGAGGGACATGACATCATCTATCTCCAGTCTACACCTGCAGTCCTTTCAGTAGTTCCAAGAAGGCTCCACACAAATTTGCGCTACTCAGCTGACCCTGAGGACACAGATAAGCCTCCAAGTGGCCTCAATGACTCTCTAAAAGACTACAAATGACCAGCTGTCTGCAAGGAGTATAAATCCTTCCGTTCCCCAAGAGCTGAAGAAGCTTCTTGGATGAGAAAGGAAACATCTCTGAAGAAAAACAAGAAAGCCCTGTTGTTGCCTCTTGAAAAAGCATCTTTGAGACAACTATGACCTGGATGGCTGAGAATCTCTCCATAGACATATACAATATTGTATTGCTTAGCCAGAGAGGGTACAAATTGAAAGGAGATTGTGCAAAATGCCAAGTTCACTCTTCTTCCACCCTGCTCTAAAGGCCTGTTCTACAAGGAGATGTACAAGTATTTACAAATTAGTAGTTATGTAATGAGCTTAACTAGCCGGTGTGACTTGAAAGAAAGTCTATGTTGTCACTGTGAAAGCAAACAAGTTGGTAGTGGTTTGTTTACAAATTGACTAAATGAGTCAAATATCTTTAGCAGACTAATGAATGTCTACACCAAGGGTCTTCAAACTTGGCCCTTTTATGACTTGTGGACTTCAACTCCCAGAATTCCTCAGCCAGCACACCATCCCTATTGTACTTCCCCCCCAAAAAAAAATTGGGGGGGGGGGAAGGTGGGAAAGAGAAAAAGGGAGAACTTAAGATTTTGCTGGGATTACATTCTGCTCGTTCAACTGAGTGCAAAGGTAAAATTTAGCATTCCTTGTGGACTTTCCCACTCGAGAATAGAAACCCGATTGATTAATTAATTATTTTTTTAAAAAGTGAGACTCACAGGAAGGCATTCTCAAAAACACGTTCACATCTGTTGTTGCTTTCAATTACAGTGTGAGCATTTGATAAGAAAGGAGGAACAAAGTTTACATTCCTCATCAACTGACCTTAATAAAATCTCTGATGAGATAGGCAGCCTTTACCCCATTTTGTACATTAAAGCTGATATCCACTTTTACTTCAGTATAGGAGTCTGTCAGTTTAATGATAGGAACCTGAAGAAAGAGAAAACAGCATCTTTGTCTTTAAAAAAACAGATTTCCGATAAAGAATTGGTCTTAGTTCGGTACAAAACACCTTTAAAATTAAACCAAACAGAATTCAGCGATTTGATCTCTGCTTGCAATGCTTAGATCCAAAGCTTTGATTTGAGGACAATTTGACTGAATCAGCTCTTCTAGCTGAACTACCAACTCAGTTCAGAATAATGAATAGAATTTTGCACCATGAGCCAACTGGAAAATTCAGCTGACTTTTATGTATATGCATACATACTTTTATACAACTAACACTTTGGACTGAATTACAAATTTAAACTTAATACTCTATCTGTTGCATAGAGACCATTAATATGAAGCTGAGAGAATTGAGATACAATTCCAAACTCAAAACATCTGCTTTTATACATGAACAGATCATAAGAGAAAACAAAACATTGCAGAACTGAACTATTCTGTATTCCGATGAAAAAAAGAGTGATGTTTCAAAAAAAGAAGAAAGGAGTTAAAACTTTAATTTAGCAGAAAGGACGGGTGCTTACTGCATCCATATTTACTGATGTAATTTGCACCACTGAAATAAATGTGCAGCTTCTCTCTTTGTATCCTTTACATTGGTTTATGCCAAATGATAAACTGAGACAAAAAGATGTAAAGCCATCAATTATATAATTATACACATGACATAACCTGAGGCAAATTATGTCAATTGTCAGGACAGACTCTGAAATAACAGGGCTGTCCATTATTAAATGAATGAAGATTGGAACTGTGGCAGCCCTGTCAAATTGGGGGAGGGGGTGTCTATTTAACTGAAATTAACAGAATAACAAGAGCTGGAAGGGACCTTGGAGGTCTTCTAGTCCAACCCCCTATACCATTTCAGACAAAGTACAGGTTTGCCCTGCAATATTGTTCAGATATTTCACAGATTACATTTTAGGGGGAAAAATGACTATCTAGAATTTAAGTCAGAAACAGTGGAAATATAACCACTTTAATAATCATTATAAAACAGATATCTGAAGTCTAAACTCAACTTTTATTCTAGCCTCAGCCTGGAGCTCAAGCTACCTTACAAGGTTGCTGTATAGTGCAAAAATGGAGGAACGAAGAATGTCTATACCACTTGAGCTCCTGAATGAAAGGCTGGATATTTGATGAACAAAATATGCAAGGCTCAAATGGTTTCAGATGATCTTGCTTGGGGGTCTGTCAGACAGAACACACAGTACATGAGAAGCAGCAACACAAAGGGATTTTTAAAATGATTTCTATTATAATGCTTTGGTAAGACCATACTTGGAATGTCGAATCCAGTTTTGGTCACCACTATATAAAAAAGATGTTGAGACTCTAGAAAGAGTGCAGAGAAGAGCAACACAGATAATCAGGGGACTGGAGGCTAAAGCATATAAGGAACGGTTGCTGGAATTGGGTATGTCTAGTTTAATGAAGAGAAGGACGAGGGGGGACAGAATAGCAGCATTCCAGTATCTCAGGGGCTGCCACAAAGAAGAGGGAGTCAAGCTATTCTCCAAAGCACTTGCAAGCAGGACAAAAAGCAACAGATGGAAACTAATCAAAGAGAGAAGCAACCTAGAACTAAGGAGAAAATTCCTGACAGTGAGAACAATTAACCAGAGGAACAACCTGCCTCCAGAAGCTGTGACTGCTCTATCACTGGGAGTTTTTAAGAAGAGATTGGACAGCCATTTGTCTGAAATGGTATGGGGTCTCCTGTTTGAGCATGGGGTTGGACTAGAAGACCTCTAAGGTCCTGACTTGCAACTCTGTTATTTGCAAGGTAGACGTTCCACAGGAATTGACCAATCTGAGTTGAGTCACCCCCCTTCCCCCATACTAGAGGCACAAGAAGAACACGCACATACACAAAATTAACTTACAGTTGCTTTATCTAAAACCTTCACTGAACCTTTATCGGCCACGTTGTGCTTTCGAAGTGCTTCTTCCAGGGTCCACAGTGGCAAAGTCTCCCATTTTCCAAACACCACTAAGTCAATATCGCTGGAAAGAGAAGACAGGAGATTAGTACTCCCTTCAGGTGCATTCTGGAATCAGAATGGGTAGATTTCTGCAGAAGAACCAGCCTATCACTTCGTACAAAAAAGACTCCGAGCTTTCTAAGAGACACCTACTTCAGATACGCTTCGGGCACTTAATGAAGGCTACTTCCTGGTCTTCCGATTTACGGAAACATTAGTACAGAGGTAGGCAACCTTGGCTCTTTTGTGACTCGTGGACTTCAACTCCCAGAACTCCTGAACCAGCCATGCTGAGGGGAAAGGGAGAGGTTTCCAAGCTGAGCCATGCTGGCTCAGGAATTCTGGGAGTTGAAGTCCACGAGTCATAAAGGGGGCCATAGTTTCCCCATGCTGGCTGAGGAATTCTGGGAGTTGAAGTCCGCAAGTCATGAAGGGGCCATAGTTCCCCCATGCTGGCTGAGGAATTCTGGGAGTTGAAGTCCACGAGTCACAAAAGAGCCAAGGTTGCCTACCCCTGCGTTAGTGCGTCTACCCCATCTTAGATGTATAAATCTGTCCGATGATTAATCTCAGCCTTCCTCGGCTGAAGGCTCTTCCCAACCGACAAATACTCATTTCCAGTGTATTCCAGTCAAATGTTGTTAGAACAAGATAAGCTGAGGAATAAATTGGGAATGGGGAGGGGGAAGGCAGAGCCCCCCCCACAAATATAGCGTTCGTTTAGTGACCGCAATTGGGATTGGCAACTTGGTTAAGTGAAGCGGTCTCTAAATGAAACCGCGACTGTGTTTAAGATCTTACTTCAGTCTTTCTTTTGCTTTACAGACTGTGAAGGACCCTAACTGTGAGGACTCGTCGTAAAGTCCTCATCGTACTTTCGTCATACTTTCCTGTCACTGTTGTAACTGGGAACGGTTGCTAAATAAGAATGAGCTATAGGCCGAGTTGCGTGCAGGAAAGATATAAAATGCAAATGAAATAAATAAAAGGCACTAACCTAGTAGGCAAATATAACCCAGTCTTAAAACTTCCAAATATCTGCACCTGGAGAAGAAGAAAATCAAAACACACAAATTAAAACTTTTCACCATAAGCATAAAGAATCGGCAGCAATGCAGACTGGAGATCATCCAGTATATAGGATTAATCTAGAGATCAAGCTAAGTCATAAGCAAGCAGACACTGAATATGATGTCTGAATGTATGTTTCTGGAGAAACCGAAGAACGAAGCCATTGCCTTTTTTTAAGTTTATCCATGGCTTCACTTAATTATCCACTTGCTGTAGGGCAGGGGTAGGCAACCTTGGCTCTTTTATGACTCGTGGACTTCAACTCTCAGAATTCCTGAGCTACCCATGCTGGCTGAGAAATTCTGAGAGTTGACGTCCACAAGTCATGAAGGGGCCATAGTTCCCCCATGCTGGCTGAGGAATTCTGGGAGTTGAAGTCCACGAGTCATAAAAGAGCCAAGGTTGCCTACCCCTGCGGTAGGAGAACAAAACAAGTCTAAAGTCAGACGTTCTGCAGAGTCTTTGCAGCTGCATCCACTCATGGATATGTTTGCTCAAACAGATCTGGTTAGCAGACAGGTTTCTAAGTTTGCAGACAACCGTGATCATTGCAGAAGCTTTCAGAAATCCTAGCAAAATCTCTGGCTACTACTTGTCTGAAGCTCCTTAATCTCTTATCTTGTGATGGACCCGGATCAGAATCCCTGGGACAAGCACCCTCCAGATGATGCTTAAGAATCATTTTCAGATTTACATACCCCACCAAGGCAATAGTAATAGCACTTAGATTTATATACCGCTTCACAGTGCTTTACAGCCCTCTCTAAGTGATTTACAGAGTCAGCCTATGGCCCCAACTATCCGGGTCCTCATTTTACCGACCTGGGAAGGACAGAAGGCTTAGTCAACCTTGAGCTGGTCAGGATCGAACTCCTGGCAATGGGCAGAGCTAGCCTGCAATACTGCATTCTAAGCACTAGGAAGGAAGGAAGGAAGGAAGGAAGGAAGGAAGGAAGGAAGGAAGGAAGGAAGGAAGGAAGGAAGGAAGGAAGGAAGGATGGAAGGAAGGACAATAGCACTTAGACTATTGCACATTAGACTGGGGCATATTGCCCCCAGCAATCTGGGTCCTCATTTTACCGACCTCGGAAAGATGAAAAGATGAGTCAACCTTGAACTGATGAGAATCGAACTGCTGGCAGTCGGCAGAATTAGCCTGCAATATACTGCATTCTAACAACTGCGCCACTACGGCTCAATAATCACAGTGAAGGCCTATTCAAGAAAACTGATGGGAACTGCATGCTGTTCATCCTTTTAAACAAGGGCCTGGCTTTCTTCTTTAGGAGTGATCTAAGTCGCTTCCTTCCTTTGGCAGCTGTGTTATCCCGATTCCAGGATAATTAAAAGCCTCTCCCAATCGCCCTAATGGTGAAGTCTGGTTGATGCCAAGAACAGCTCTCACTTACTAGGAATGTTTCTGTCTAAGCACATTCCCTGGAGTAACACAGAAATGACACAATTGCTGGCTTCTATAAATAGTTTAAGAAAAGCATGCTTGAATGCCAACACTTCTTTTATCGTTTCCTTCAAAATGCTAAGCTCACACACGTTCTCAACAGCATCCCTTTTTTAAAAAAAAAAAAGGATTGTAATTTTTCAGATGAACGACGATGAACTTGCCAATGGACAGCTTGCTACCAGATGTAAACAGATGACCGTGGGTTTTTTTTTTTTTTTTTTTGCTTCCAGTTTTAGATTCATGCCACACAAATGCAGCTGGAGGGAAAGAAAAAAAAAAGCTAAGCACATCCATGGCAGTGTCTTTCCCACTGCTTGGAGATTTGGTTTTCTTAGCTCCTTCGTCAAGTTTTTCAGATCTGTTCAAGCTACGCAGGGTCCAACTGAATGCAAAGGAGACCTTTGTGATCTCTGAACTTTGCCTACATGGTTTACACGTTGCCCTTTTGCGAATTATTTCGGTCACTGACGATCTGACTCCAGAGCTCACCGGAGCCAAAAATGTCAGCGACGTGTTTGCTTTAAGGTTATGTTGGGAGACTTCCAGTTCCCTTTCCTTTTAAGGTCTTTTTGGTCTCCTTCCCACAGACTGAATTGTTGAGGAGAAGGGCCAGTCAGGAATGCCGCTACCTACAAGAGGGAAATGGAATCTGAAAGTCAAAGAGACTGGCTGATCTAGAACAAGCAACAATTTAGGGCAGGGGTGTCCGACCTTGGCCACTTTTAAGATTTGTGGACTTCAATTCCCAGAATTCCCCAGCCAGCTGGTTAGGGGATTCTGGGAGTTGGGAGTCCACAAGCCTTAAAAATGGCTAAGTTTGAGACCCCTGCTTCAACACAAGGTGCAAACTCATCCCAAAACATTTTGCTGATCATATCGTTCGACGTGGCTGGCTGAGGAATTCTGGGAGCTGAATTTGACAGGTCTTAAAATGGCCAAGGTTGGGCACCCCTAGTTTAGGGCATCCACTTTGCAGATTAATTGGACGAGGAAACCTGGAAGTCTTTTTTATCGATAGCATTTGCTTCCTCTCAAGTTCCAACTGATCCCTTTGGCCAGGGTGACCGAGAGGAACGTGCAAAACAGCCGAATCACCGTTTCAGACCCGACTGAAGCTATGCAAATGTAGAATAAAGACTGCCTCATTTTAGCACCAGATTTCCAGGGTTTTTTTTTTTTTAAACTGCAGAATGGTGGAGTTTCTGCCTTTAATACCGTTGAACGTCATCTAAAGTCTACAGCCATTGGACAAGAAACGCCAGCATCTTCGGCAACTTAAAAGAGAGTTTGCTAAACTTACATCCGCGTTGGGCCAGAGTTCCTTTATTACGTTTTCTATCCTGTTGACCACCTCCATCCGCATTCTTTCCTCTTCGTGTCTAGGGGACATGTACTTGTAGAAGTCATTGATTTCTTCGTGAAGGCTGAAAAAGAAGAGGGCTGGGTTAGCAAAACGACATAATCATGAGGATAGGAGAGGGAGACTGAAAAGGGTTTTGCCTGTGGCTTTACGTAGGCTTCCTCCGAAATCATTGTCATCAAGATCTGGCTGCTTCACGTGGGACTTTTTAAGTCCCATCCTCTCACGGAAATCCCAAGCCAGCCTTAGCCGCGTGATACATTAGTTAAGAGACAAACAACAGGCTGGAAGAGAGACTGTTTAATACTTCTACCGCCCACGAGTTCTCTTTGGCCATCTGTTCTGCGGCACAGGAAGGGAAGATAAGAAGAACTGAGGTGAGAAGCTGGAAGACAGCCTGGAGGTATTGTAGAGATGGCCTTGAAGAAAGGAAGTGGCCCGAGTAAAATAGGGAAAGGGTGGGAAAGAAACTCAAGACGGCCCCATCTTGATGCTCTTTGGTCTAAGACAGGGGTAGGCAACCTTGGCTCTTTTATGACTGGTGGACTTCAACTCCCAGAATTCCTGAGCCAGCCATGCTGAGGGGAAAGAGAAAGGTTTCCAAGCTGAGCCATGCTGGCTCAGGAATTCTGGGAGTTGAAGTCCACCAGTCATAAAACAGCCAAGGTTGCCTACCCCTGGTCTAAGAGGAAGGGAAGGGAAAATGATGTCAGGCTTTCAGAACTGTTATTATAGATCAGTGGTTCTCAACCTTTTTAATGCCACGACCCCCAAGCGGTCGTAAGTTGAGGACTACTCAACCGGTCGTAAGTCGAGGACGACTCAACTGGTGCAGCACCATTTGCAGAATGGGACTTTTGGTGGGCTCAGCAGGGCAGAGACAGCCTGGACAATTCCTATTGGCTTTTGAAAGCCAATAGAATTAGACTCTATTCAAGAGAGTCTATTCTATTGGCTTAGCACAGCTAAGGAAAAGGGGAAAAAAATGGCGGACTGCGTTGTTTGGAGACCCCCGTGAAATGGTCGTTCAACCCCAAATGGGGTCCTGACCCACAGGTTGAAAACCACTGTTATAGATAGTCCTCAACTTACAATCACAAGCAAGACCAAACCTCCATTGCTAATCAAGGCAGTTGTTAAGGGAGTTACGTCCTATTTGCCACAGTTAAGGCATCACTTCAGTTGTTAAGTGAATCCTGTGGTCATTACACAAATCAGCTCCCCCCCATTGACTTTGCTATCAGAAGCCAGCTGCAAAGGTCGTAAATGGTGAACGTGTGACCCCAGGATGTACAAAGAAAAAAATACACGCCGACTGCCAATTTTGATTTTGATCACGTGACCCTGGGGAGGCCACAATGAATGTTACGTGTGAGGACTGATCACGCCACTTTGGTTAACTTTGATTGGTTGCTAAACTAATGGTTCTCACGTCAAGGATGATCAACTTGATCAATAAAACAGGAGTTCTGGTATTTCTTGCCGGGCCTGTTTCCTGACCTGATTTACCTCGGAGGCGGGCAGATTTAGATTCAAACAACTGATGGTGAAAAACCTAAGAGAGAGGACACGGATTACACTTCAGATACGATTTGTAGCTCAGGGTTGAGAGGTTTTTTTTCTTGTAGACGTTTCATTACCCAACTAGGTAACATCATCAGTGCTTGAGGATGATGATGTAGCACTGATGACATTACCTGAATGGGCAATGAAATGTCTGCAAGAAAACAACCCAGCTCAGAGAGCACCAAGGCCCCCTTACTTTCTCGTTTATTACGACGGTTTCGCAGATTACACAGGGCCATTAAATGTGGCCCGAACCACAATTTCAGGCTGCAGATGGGAAGACCCAACATCCTGAAGCCACCAACAGGTAGGCCACACTTTCACCTAAGGATGACATCCTGAATGTCAGCAAAACACCGCCCTCTCCCTAGAAAGACCCAGATATTCAACAGCACACCATGTTGACACTAACAGTTAATATTAACCGCTCTGATAAATGCAGTCAACATTACGATGTTTTTTCGCAATACAAATCAACAGTTACACGATTGATTACAAGGGTTCGTTTGCAGCCCTCTTGTTGGTGGGGGGAAAGAGGAGGGACATTTCTCTCTGGGTCTTTCTTGTGATATAGAGCGGGCCTAAGAAGCAACCTGGAATTAAGGAGAAACTTCCTGAGAGGAGTGAGGACAATCAACCAGTGGAACATGCTTGCCCCAAAAATCGTGGGCGCTCCATCACTGGAGATTTTTAAGAAGAGACTGGACAATCACCTATCTGAGATGGTGTAGGTTTTCCTGCTTGAGTATGGGGCTGGACTAGAAGACCTCCAAGGTCCCTTTCTTCTGTTCCATTCCATTCTATTCTATTCTCCATACAGTATTCTATTCTATATTCTATGTTCCATATTCTTTGTTCTATTCTATTCTATTCTATTCTATTCTTCACTTATTCTATTCTATTCTTCACCTATTCTATTCTTCATCTATTCTATTCTATTCTATTCTATTCTATTCTATTCTATTCTATTCTATTCTATTCAATTCTACTCTACTCTACTCTAATTCTATTCCTTAAACCTGTGCCTCTCTCCATGCCAACAACTTTAAGATGCGTGGACTTCAACTTCCAGAATACTGGCAAATATCTGTAGCTCGGGGGTAGGATGAGGGTGGAGGTTTGTTCTCCGAGCTTGTGGGCTGGTTTCTGAACGTTTCATTACCAGGCTAGTTAACATCTTCCGCAAAGTTTAGGGCAGTGTTTCTCAACCTTGACAATTTTAAGGCATGAGTTGAAGTCCACATGCCTTAAAATTGTCAAGGTTGAGAAACACTGGTTTAGGGGATGTCAGTGTTCCTCTGTTTGTAAGGGCTTCAGGTGTGGGTATGTCAATTGAGGGTCTTGTGATGGGTGAAGTGTGAGTCAAGCCTCTCACTGATGACTCACATCTGAGCCATCACACCCACACCTGAACCCCTTAGGAACACCGACACTGACATCCCCGCCGAAACTCCACTGAAGATGTTACCTAGCTTGGTACCAAAAGGTTCAAAAACCTGGACTAGATGATCTCCAACGTCCCTTCCAACATCATTATTATTATCATTAATTAATTAATTAAACAAATTTATATAGCTGCACAACTCAGACCTAGCCGTCTCTGGGCGGTTTACGAAAGCTTGCCTGCCTTTCTTTTTTTATACAGGGGAATATTGGAAGTGCCAGAACCATGTCTTAATTCCTTTTCAAAAAAAAAAAAAAAACTTAAAAGAGATGTGAGGAAAAACAGATGGGAATTATTTCCAGTATTATCAAAACCGCTCATTGCGCATGGCCTGTTGTCCCTTGGGGTAGAAGGAGAACTCTCATCCATGCAGCTGTTTCTCTGAAGCGCTACCTCTCTTGATATTATAAGCCACCTTCCCAAATCTTGGTTTAATACAGGGAGTCCCGAAATGCATGTGCTAATCAAAAAAAGCGGGTTTTGCCCCATTTTACGTGCCACATTAAGTGAATCACTGCAATTGTTAAGCTAATAACGCCATGGTTGTGTGAATTTGGCTTCCCTGTTGCATTTGCTTGTTGAAAAGTTGCAAGAGGGGAAACACATCATCCCAGGACACCGCAACTGCCATAAATATGAAACCAGTTGCCACGTATCTGAACTTTGATTAGGTGACCAGGGGGATGCTGCAACGGTTGTTAAGGGTGAAAAACAGTTGTGTTACTTTTTTTCAGTGCTGTTAAAACTTTGAATAGCACTAGCACTTAGACTTATAGACCGCTTCACGGTGCTTTGTACAGCTCTCTCTAAGCAGTTTACAGAGTCAGCATCTTGGCCCCAGCAATCTGTCTGGGTCCTCGTTTTACCGACCCCGGGAGGCCGGGGCCACCTTGAGCCAGTGAGAATGGTCACTAAATGGTGAGAAGGGTCACTAAATGAATGTTAAATCAAGAGCTATCTGTACCTCGTCCGCAATAGTTCCATCTTATCTGTTATCAGTTTCAGCTTCTTGACTCTTTCCAGCCCTTTCCGTTTTTGAAACAACTCTCCAGCACCTGCACCACCTCTCCTGCGTTAGATCAAAAGGAGAACACTGAACATTTGAAACCCAAATCTCCAGGCGACTTCTCCCCGCGGCTTTGTGTACATACTGAACCGCAAGGAAGAAAGAACAGAGCCAGAGTGAAACCTCACATCTCCTCTAGATAGAGTGGAGTCACTGGACACAGTTCCTACCATCCAAGGAGCTCCTTCAGCAAAATATCTCCTGATCAACAATATCCAAGGCTGCTGGAAGACCTAACAGAAATCAAGAACTTCTGTTGATTATTTCCCCCCCACTTCATAAAGGTATTGATTAGGGCAATTAAGGCTATTTCAGGGGTAAATCAAGACCTGAAGCCAGGCTGAGATGCATCTAATGCAGTGGTTCTCAACCTGTGGGTAGGGACCCCATTTGGGGTCGAACGACCATTTCACGGGGTCGCCAAACAACGCAGTCCGCCATTTCCCCCCCTTTTCCTTAGCTGTGCTACTCCCTTTTATTCTATTGCCTTTTGAAAGCCAATAGACTCTCTTGAATAGAGTCTAATTCTATTGGCTTTCAAAAGCCAATAGGAATTGTCCAGGCTGTCTCTGCCCTGCTGAGCCCGCCAAAAGTCCCATTCTGCAAACGGGGCTGCACCCGTTGAGTAGTTCTCGACTTACGACCGGTTGAGTAGTCCTCGACTTACGACCGGTTGGGGGTCACGGCATTAAAAAGATTGAGAACCACTGATCTAATGCAAGGGTCCCCAATCCCCGGTCCGTGGACCAGTACTGGGCTTGCAGCATACCAGCAACTGGGCCACACAAACAAAGCCCCATCTGCAGGATGCAGGCACCACACAAAACCACGCATCCTCTGGTCCACAGAAAAACCTCTGGTCCCTGGTGCCCAGAAGGTTGGGGACCTCAGATCTAATGCATTTAGTTCCCTCCCTTTCCATCCAGGACGTGGCACATAAGCGACGCTTGAGCAGGGTCTGCAGGATTGTCTGGGATGCTACACATCT